GACTTAATTTTTTTAACACAAAAGAAATGTAGTAATTTATTAGTAAAATTTCATATTTATTCCTAATTAAATTTCATTTAGATAAGATTTTTTTTAATATATATTGTAATTATATTTTAAAATGAGGGTAAAATAGAAATAAATGCATTAAATGACATATTAAAAAAGAAATTGGATAATTAAATTTGAATGGTTCAAATAGGAAACTAAGTCTACTAAAATTGAATGGAGGGAATATACAAGTTACTAAATTTTTATGTGAAATTTATATCTGTAAAATTAAAAAGTTAAACTAATTAAGATTACTAAAGTTGAACAAAGTGAGTATGATTTAATAATTACAAATCTATAAGCAACAATATTTCTACAAAAATTCTACATATGTAAGATAAGCTCTCTCTCTGTGTGTGTGAATATCCAAAGGCATATCTCGCACTTTATGTTCCTTGGGATTTTTGAGTATAGAAAGTCAACAGTTCTACAGGCCGGCCAAACCTTTGAATGGGGAGACTGTATCCAAAGGCCGGTGGCTCCAATCCAATCATGCCAGACTGCAGAACATACATCTGGGATAGAATTGAATCTGTTGAAGAAGTTAGTGCCAGTGGTGGGAAAAACACACAGAATTCAGGCTGAAGTGGAAGAAAAAGAGGCGGTGTGAAGAATCAGTGCAATCTTGCTGACGCCAGTTCCGTGATGCTGGTTTAGTGATTAGACCAAGTCGTCACATATATGCTTATCCGTGAAGGCTTCAATTTCAAGTTGACCTAACCCCACAATTTGATGCTATATCCTCTTCCAAAAAGAAAAGAAAGAAAGAAAAAGGCTATGACAAGTTTAGATTTTGGGAGTCCCAGTACTGGTCCACACCCTACACTCTCACATGGTGGGTTCAGCCGTCCAAGAATGAAGGACTATTGATTCCAACACTATTTATTGTGAGACGGAGGGTAAGTCTATATGAGTTCACAAGTCAATCCTAATATATGTACATATCATCCAACTTTATTTTATTCATAGTGGTCAATTTATTTATGTTCTGTTTAGTCACAAATATTTTTTGATTTTAATTGGCATAATCAGACTCTATTTTAAACTAAAGAATTTAAATTATTAAATTCATGGGTTATTCATGTAATGAAACACTATTGATTCAAATACCATTTATTGTGAGGTGGCCAATATGAGTTTAGAAGCAAGTCTTAATATCAAATTTTAATTTTTTTTTTTAAATTATGAATGATGTTGTACTAATAAATTAAAGAGGTAAAAATGATTACAATCATTGTCTTGATTTTTTTAATATTATAATGTCTTAATTTTTTTATTCATATTAATATATATAAAAGTAGATTTTTTTAAAGAGATGTTTTTTTAATCCAAACAGGGACAAATAAAAAAAAATGTTAGTTTGGATTGAAAATTACTACAATGCCCATGATACCATGGTTCTCAAAGGACAATTAAAAAATAGTATAGTCATTTCTCCTTTGACTAACAATTTTAGGGAATGTTTTTATTTTTTTTATTTTTTTTTATTTTTTTCGTTTATAAAAAAGAAGAAGAAAATGATACATATACCTTACAAAGCTATATACTCTATTATACATTGATAGTTTTTGTTATTTGTATCATTAAAACTAACGGTTTTTATTATTTGTACCATTAAAATTGATAATTTTTGTTATTTATGTCATTAAAATTAACAGTTTTCATTACACATTAATGATTTTCATCAATATTTAATGGAGTGTGTAACTTTATAGGATGTATGTATTATTATTAAAAAAAAAATGATACCTTTTTCGTTGTTCATGAAGCATTATTATAATATGCATAATGATTGAAGGAATAAGTAGCAAATTTTAGTTAACAAAGTAAGATATTTTAGTTGATAGTTAATTTTTGGGGATTAAAGCGAGCTAAATATATTCTGTAATTGATTAGAAAGAATCTGAAAAGTGTTCTTTTTATGCTTTTTATTCTTTTTCAAACTTCTAGACTCAATTTTTATGACCATTGAAATATTCTTTGAACAACTATGAATATCTTAGCCAACTTCCACACCATCCCTCACTTCAAAAAACCCTTTCAAATGGCAATTTGGATGTAAGAATATCATTAAAAATTGTCCGTTTCACCTCTAGAAACTTTTAAGTGCATGTGAAAAATATTCCATGTGAACTGATAGAAACACCAAATAAAGGTAATCAAACCCAAATTTCATTATTCTAACTTATAAGGTGAGAAACAAAGGCTTGAACTATGAAGTGTTTAGAAAGATTTAGTTAGAAACTTCATTAAAGCAAAAGGAAAGCATTTTGTTTCATGGAAATCAAGAATGGAATAACATAAAGTTTAGGTTCCCAATTTTATTCCTTTCAATAATGCTACACCCTTGAAGTGGTGAGATTAATTGGAATCTTGCAAAGTTTCACTACACAACTTTTGGCTGCCTATATAATTTGATCTTTCCCTCTTAACCAAACCAAGGTGACAGTAAAACAAAACAGATCTTCTTCTTTAGTATACAGACTAAAACAGAACCATGGAATATCAGAATTACCTCCGCAAGGTTGGACATGAAGGCTTCAAAATCATAGACGCCTACCCAGGTTATCCCAGGCCTCAGACTCACACAGTGTTGCAGGAGCCTTTTGGCAATTTCACAACTTGTGTTTATCAGGTGCAACCCAAAGTTCCTGCAGGAAAGGCACCAGTACCTCCATCAAAAGATGTTGCTTTCAGTGGCAATGGCTGGCGAAATGCAGATCTGGTACCCCAAACTGCAAAGCCAAAAGAACCTGTTACATGGTACATGTGTAAGGCACCCCAAGTTCCTACAGGAAATGGAGCTATTCTTACCAGTGACCAGGCTGCTAAAGCCCATGGTGGGTTCGTAATTAAGGAGTACTATTGGTAAAGTTAAAACGATACCAAATTACCAATAGGATTATCAACTTTGTGGTACAAAATATAAGCACTAGCTAGTCTACTATGATTATTACTAGTAGTTTCCTAGACATAGAGCAGCACTGAGAGTAAAACAATGTATTTATATCTGTTACCCTTTGCAGCTTTAAAATCAGCTTTGCTTGTAAGGTTGTGGTGCTCGATTAAATATGTTATGTCTTGGTGATTTCAGTTCTAAATTTTAATTTCTCATTTATGATCTGTCCAATCCCCTCTTTCTTCCTCTGTGTCTTAATTTGTCATCTATTTGAAATTCTACATATGTAAGATAAGTTGTGTGTGTGAATATCCCAAGGCATCTCGCTTTGTGTTCCTTGAGATTTTTGAGGTAAGTAAGGGCCAGCAGTTTTGCAGACCGGCTAAACCCTTGAATAGGAGGACTGTATTCAAAGGCGAGCGGATTCTAATCCCCACATCCTAGACTGCACAGCATATATGTGGGATAGAAATGCATATGTTGAAAAACAGAATTCAGGCCAGGTTGGAAGAAAAAGAGACGGTGTGAAGAATCTGTGTAGTCTTGCTGACGCCAGATCCGGCCGTGATGCTGGTTAGACCAAGTCATCACATACATATGTTCATCCATAAAGGCATCAACTTCAAGTCTAACCCCCACAATTTTGATGCTATATTCTCTTCCAAAAACAAAGGCTTATGACAAGTTTAGGGGCGTGGTTATTGCTGCACTGACAATTGAATTCGGGTGACACAAACTTGTTAATATTGTTTGTAAAAATAAAGACTTTGTTTGATTTAACTATTAAAAATAATTGATATTTATTACTTAACATGTTAAAATTAATTTACAAATTAATATTTTTAAGCATTATAACCAATTGTTTAAAAAAAATTATAAATTAATAAAACATTAGTTAAACTAAATAAAATCAATATAATTTGTATGGCCTTAACACATTATTCTTATAATCACACGCGAATGGAAATTCTAGTCCACGCCCTACGTACACTCTCACATGGTGTGTTCAACCGTCCAAGAATAAAACACTATTGATTCTAATGCTATATATTGTGAGACCAAGAGTCAAGTTTGAAAATAAATATAATCGACATAAATATTTTTTTTTTGTCAATTATAACGGATTTAATCTACAAAATGGATGTTGATTAAACAAGACCCGAATCAATTGGTGTAACATTAAAACTAGTATAATCAATAAAATGATTGTCAATTATATATACATAATTGACAGATAGTTTCTGTCAATTATGTTTCTCTAAGGGCAAAAAAAACATGTTTGTTTAGATTGAAAATTACTACAATACCCATCATAACATGATTCTCAAAGGGCAATTAAAAAATATTATAGTCATTTCCCCTTTAAATTGACATTTTTAAGGAACATTACTTTTTCTTTCATTAAAAAATAATCATTTTCCTTGTTCATTAAGCATTATTATAATACGCATAATGATTGAGGGAATCAAAGTAGCAAATTTTAGTTAACAAAGTAGGATTTTTAAGTTGATAGTTTTTGGGATTAAATCGACCTAAATTATCTTTTGTGATTGATTTGAAAGAATATGTAAAGTGTTCTTTTGATGTTTTTTATTCTTTTCCCAACTTCTGAATTCAATTTTTATGACCATTGAAATATTCTTTGAACCACAATGAATATCTTACCCAACTTCCACACCACCACCACTTGAAAAACCATTGGAAAATAATTGGTATACTTTTTAGTTCAACATATTTATCATTGCGCATCAATTCAACTATTAAATTTTGCAATTGAAATTTTTCTTGTTTTGAATTTAAATTTAAAAATAGTAATCTCTTAATAAATGTGTTGTGAAATGTTTTAACCAAAAAGTGTACCAATTATTATTTAAAAACCTTTTAAATCACAATTTGACCATTAGAAACATCATTAGAATTCTTTGTTTCACCTCTAGCATCTTAAAAACACCAAATAAAGGTAATCAGACCCAAATTTCATTATGCTAACTAAAGGGAGAAACAAAGGTTTGAACTATTTTTTTGGTACTAACCTTGGTATTTGAAAGCTACAATGGGTTTTGACTAATTCAGAATCAAGTTGCGTCAAACCTCATAAGGGAAAAACTCTCCCAACATCTGTTTTTCCATTCATATGACTTGAACTCAAGACTTGCTAAAGGGAAATTGTGCTTCTTCCATTTAGATCAATAGATCATTGGTTATAAAGGTTTGAACTAAAGGTGTTCGTGGTGTGGTTTGGTTCGGATTTTAATATTTTTTAAACCAATCCAATTTAACTGGTTAGTAAAATTTTTAAACCAATCCAATCCATTATTATATGATAACCAAACCAATTGGATCGGTGTGGTTTAGTTGGATTAATCGGTTTTTAATATTATTAAATATATGAGATAATATAAAAATTTTTAACATTAAATACAAAATATAATTATAAAATACATTAACATCCAAATTACAAGAAACATAATAAAATGCATAAATTATAAACAAGTTCTTATATTCATTTACAATTGTAAAGATTGAAAAGATTTGAAAATTCTTTTTGACTATATCACTAGAGGCATCAAGGATAATAAAATATAACTTTAAATTTTAAATACAGTGCAAGTAATTCTTAAAGGTTAAAACTAATTTTTTCCCTTAATGTAGCAAATGATTCAATCCCATCTTCCAAACCTTGTAAAAAGTAATTAAAATTTAATATAAATGTCATTAGGAATGATTAGAAGCATTCATAATTAAAATTTAAAACTTCTTAACCAAAAATCCAAAAATAGTAGAATATCAAAATTAGTTATATTATATAGTTTTAAGACTGCTAGAATAATATTTCTTAAAATTTAGTTAGTAGAATTAGAATATTATTTTAAGAACAAATTAAAAATTTAGAGTTTTCAAAATAGAGTTATAAACTAGTTATAAGAGATAGAGTTGCAAGTGAATTGTAAATTTAGAATTAGGGTTAGAGTGCACAATTTAAAAAGGAAAATAAATTAGAGAGTATAGGGATATTCTATTTTTATTTTTAAATTAAGTTAATGGAGTTATCATCTTATAAAATAAGAAAAAATTTAAAATATTACAAAAAA